TGGCTAATGAGGCATGCCATAAGCACTGGGAAAAAAAGAAGGTGAATGCAGCAACCCCCAAAGAATTGAAATTAATATCCGCAGCAGCACAGCGTAGGAGACCGAGTCATCCCCACAGGGTCAAAGTAGACCTGGACGTTTGCCTCACAATTACGCTTAGACTTGGCGTATGTTTACAGCTCCGTACAGATGTTTGAATGGGCAAATGAATGGATGTTAGAATTCACAGGCTCATTCCTTAAATTTTGTCAGTTTTTGGTGTTCTAATGAACATTTTCAGAGGGCTCTGGGTCTTCTGAGGTCAAATAAAGGGAATGCTCTAGTAAACACAAACACTCCTGTGGCCCTTTTCCTCTGGTCATTAGCCCCATCCTCTTCCTTTCTAAGGAAAGACGTTCCATCAAGATGGTGTGAGTCTAGTTGAAGGCTAGCTTCTACCCTAAGATCATTTGATTGATCAATTGATCAGTTGACCAATAGACACAACTTTGTTTATTCATATTTAATAAGCTCTTCATTATCCACTCTGCTTGGGGGAAGGGGATATTTATAGCTAGTCAAGTATTCTAGTTAATAAGGAGTTGACGCAGGAGGATTCTCACCTTACATTGTGGTGATACGCACTTGGACATGGAGACGAGGATGATCATCACTGATTATGCAGAAGTCTCTGGAGTCTCCACGGTGGTGGGGCAGCAGCCTCGTTTATCATGGCACTGTGGAATCCGGCCGTGCTGGTAACGCGTTTCTCCCTGCTATTTCCAAATTTCCAGCTATTTACCAAATGGAGAGAGAGAGAGAGAGTGTGTGTGTGTGTGTGTGTGTGTGTTTATAGTCAGCCTTTCAGCCTTGTTCTAGAAAAGATTTAAGATGGAGGGGGTATAATGATTGTTTGACCAGCCTGCAGACTTAATTGTTGTTCCTTTCAGAAAGATCTCCAACACTTGGCTCAGCACCGGCTGGTTCACAATGACGATTGCCCTGGAGCTCTGTGACAGGATCAATGTTTACGGCATGGTGCCCCCAGACTTCTGCAGGTAGGATGTACTCTGCGAGTGTAATTCATCAGCAGTGTTGCACAGTGTTTATAAATATCCGATTCCAGACATGAACCATGAAACATGTCTTACTGTCTTCTCGAAGCAATTAATTAACATGTCCCACGTCCTGGTTCTAGAAACAACAAACAGCACTTAATTATGTGGCATAAAATATTGAAAGTTTTTGTTTGTACTGCTGGATAATTAATCCATCTTACGGGCTTCATTTATCCTCTGAATATTTATCAACCAAAAGTAATGCAATAATTGGCATCATATTAATGATGAACAAGCATTAAGAAATATTAGTTTTATTCTCATTTCAAAGGAATGTGGTAATTTTTAATGAATTAAAGAGGGAAATTTCTTTGACGGGAAGGCCTGTTTTCTAAAATTAAAATATTCCTCTGAGTCTCTTTCCCTTTCCACATCAGTAGCCTCGGTTTGTGCTTCTAAGACCAAAAGCACAGGCGTAATTGTTTTGATGTATCGCTTTAAAGGGAACGTACATACATCTCTGTTGCTGTCTTAGGCTACCCGGCACGTGCCCCGGCAGAGTCTGATGTGCACTAACAGATGCACCGAGAAACGTTCAGGGCCCGATTTGCGGAAGCCCAGTTGAAAATTCATCTTTCATTTAAAGTAGAGATGCCGATAAGTTCAGAAAATTTCCTAGTTTTCAGGAACGCCTGCTGACCTGTACATGGCCTCGGTCCTGATCTTCACATGGCGAACCTGGGGTGGTTTTAAGCTTGCTTATGCCTTCACGTGTTTTAAACCTAGCAACTTCTCAAAGGCCATGGGCCTTGAGGCAAAACCTGAAATGTGGAGATTTGGTGCAAGGATGGTGAAGAGGACATAACCGTGCCATTACCACTTCGCCCCCTTTCTCCCACCCTCCTTAAAACAGAGACAGCGCAGCAGCCGCAGTGCTAGTTTACAGGTAAGAGTCAGGTTACAGGCGGGCGGGGACGTTGTGAACTGCCTGGCCTCACGCATCCTCAGGGAAGACACAATGTAGTGAGGAAGGCTGGAGAGTCTGGAGCAAACCACACAGGTGCCAAGAAGTATGAGCCTTGAGCACGTTGCTCAGTCTCTCTGTGTCTCAGCTTCTTCGCCATTAGAAGTGGCTGTGATGATAATAATAGACTTTCTGCCTCAGAGAGTTGTAGGTGGATTAAATAAGCGAATACATGTAAAGTGCCTGGAACAGCGCCTGGTACGTGGCAAGAGCGAGTTTGGATCCTCACTCGGTTCGTCATCACTTAAGGCACTGGCTTGTCTCCCCATTTAACAGCCTACGTGCAGAAAGTCGGTAGGATGGTGTGAAAAAGCAAACTGTCTCCTCAAATCAACTGGCTAACAAAGGCGGCGGCAGCAGCACCTACGGGCCGCAAAGAGCCATCAAAGCTGCTGGTTAGCCGGCAGGTATAATTATGTAACGTTGCCATTAGGACGCCAGGAGGAAGGAGCATCAACAAATTGAAATGTTAATGATTTAAAGTGTTCAAGGAAATATTCCATTTATTATGGAAAACAAATGAAAGGCACGTTAACCTGTCATTTCTTTTACTCAGAGTTAGTTCAGCACAACTTCCCACACGTGGGATGGGAACAATTTATGAACTGACACTAGCAAGTCAGGATACCACTGTCCTTGCAACATGTATTGCCCCCTACTCTGAATTTCTGTTCCTCGGACATCATGCCGCATGTTTGCTAGTTGTTCTCACAAGGTGCTTTCAGCAAGAACTCTTCAGAAGGATCTTTCCATCCGGCATCCTGTCAGAGAAAAGAAGTGTGCTGCGTGCTGTCGGGTGCGGAGGGTTAGGCTGGACACAGCATCCTGTACGGTTGTGACGCCTGTTTAGGGAGGATAAGAAGGGAGCAGCCGGGAGCAGCACAGACTGATTCCCAAGTTCCTTTCATCTTTATGTCCAGGACACATGGGCTGAACCACCAGGTGCTCAGTTCCCAACTGGTGACCTTGAGCCTTGCTGTCCTCATCTACAAAATGGGCACAAGAAAAGGATGATAAAAGCAAACATGTGATGGTGAGGGTTATATGAGATCATGGATGTAGAGTGTGTGACACCATGCCCAGCACATAGTTAGTGCTCAGGAAAGATTATTAATAGCATTAGTATTACTAATACATTAATATTATACTGTAAGATCTATAAAATAATTATTAATATTATCCTAAGGACGTGAGAGTTGCACTGAGAGGTACCAAGAATTTGGGAGGGGAAAGCGGTTCAAAGACTAGGACACAGCTCTTGCCTCCTTGAGGCTTATGCTACATCGGTATACCCAGATGGAAATATAATAAACACAGCAAAGCCACTTGGAGTCAAATGACTCTTGCAAACAGTGTCTGCCACCAGAGGATGAAAAAGCAACTCGTCAATTAGCCCTGCTGCTGGTCTGAACATTTCCCCTTTTACCTTAATTTTGAAAGAAGCTAAGAACGTAGTGGACCAGCTGGTATGTGTGTCATGAGCTCTAGGACTTACAGAGGTAAGACATCACCAGGGCCAAAAGTGGTAGGGAAGTTTTCCTGAGATGACTGACCTCAAGCTGGCTGAGTGCACCTGAATATAAACTCCTCGAGGGCAGAGATTCGTGTCCGTGGGTTGCTGTTGGGAGCCGTGGTGCGCAGGACATAGGTATTTATTGTCCTGGCTTATAGTGGATGCGCCATACGTATCGAGTGAACAAATGGCCCTGTCCTTGATAATTCCACGAGATAATAGATGAGGAATTCTTGGCACAGCTCTGGTGTGTGTTAAGCACGCGTGAATTTACCAGGTGAAGGGACTCACCGATCCACACGCGTAGATACCCATTAGGGCTTTTTAAGGAGACGCTCGGCGAGCACTGATGAATGGTCTCCTATGTGAATCCGGTCCCACTTTTCTTCACCATTGAGAATTGGCTTCCCGTGGCCTCCAGCTCCTTGCAGGACATCACATGGGGCCAGATTTCAGCAAACAAAAGGAGAGCCAGCTGTTCATTTGGGATAAATTAACCCTTTCAGGCTCTGAGATACAGCTAGTACTCTCCAAAGAATTCATTTACTAAGTAAATCAGAGACTTCGATTCATTCAGCTAACCTGTATTGTTTGGCACTTGGGGACATAATCAACAATGAATGAGATGGGGTTTCTGCCTTCAGTCTCCTGAGTGTCACTTGGACAGGATTCAGTCACAGGGGACAGAAGGTTCACAAGGTGCTTGCGGGAGAAAACATTCACTCTCTGCCTGTCAGTGTCTGACGCTCAGGGCGTTACTGAAACACCCGGCTTCGGCTTTCTACTGACCCTCTCCGGTGGGACAAGGGCAAGGAGCCGAGAGAAGAAAACACTGGTCCCTCCGGCCCCACTTCGTCAAGAGCAGATCAACCTCTCTGTGTTACATACGGGCTGTCATACAACAAAGGGTCCCATGGCACATAAGAACCTTGACAGCCCTGATTACCTCTGGTCTAAGACACAGTCACACTGCTTTCCAATCTAATCAAACTCACACACTTTTAAGAAGAATCTGATTGCCAGGGAAACCAAGGCACAGAAAGATCAAACCCTGGACCACTTCTGCAGTCATGTCCATTGGCTCAGTGTGGCTGTGACCAAAGGGAATGTCGGCTGCTGTGTGCATGAGCTGAGGGAGGGGACAGAATAGGACAGGGACAGCTGAGCAATCCATGAGTGCCTGATTTCCAAGAAGTGTGGGTAGGTTCACCCCCACCAGCCCGGAGCTGTCATTTCCCATCCAGCTCTCCTAGAGACCTGGCCTTCTCGTCCCTCCCACCCAAAGGTGGGACTTACTTCCGGGAGTCATTCATTGGCAAGAAAACTTCCAGTAGCCCCTAAACTATTAAGCACATGGACTCGTTAGGAAGAATGATAGCCCCACCTTTGTACGTAAAACCACAGATGGAAGCAGCGGCTGTCTGAAGGGCCACGACAGCAGATGAGGGACACATTGTTCAAAACCCTGCGGACTCAGACACTGATTAAAAGTCCTGTGCCTGGTGGGCAACCTTTTCCTCTTCCGTTTGGTACTGAAGCAAGACTACTGACCACTCTCTCCAACTCTGGTCTTTCTCTTTCCTCTCCAAACACCACTGTGCTGCTGGGGAAACCACACATCTCCCTCTGTCACCTAAACCCCTCAGCAGGTCCCCAAAGCTTTTAGAACAGAGTTCACAGTCCCCAGTTCAGCACACAAACCCCCAGGACCTGGCACCCACAGCCACTTTTGCCTCATCTCTTCCACTCCCACTGAGGAACTTATAAAGGAAGTCACCCCGCAGATCCCTGTCCCTTTGCCCTCATCTCGGGATGTCCGTGCTCTCCTTCTTAATTTGGTTGATGACTGCTGGTTCTTCACCATAACGTGAAAGGCTGTTATGTTTCCTGCACGTACCGCCTGCTGGTCCTGTGCTTGGTAGGAGTCCATGTGCCATTTCACTGGACCTTTATGATGACCCCAGGAAGGAAACATTATTATCATCATTCTACATACGAAGCTTGAAGACAGGAAACTGCTGGCCAAAGTCGTACAGCAAGCAAGTGATGGAGCTGGGATTTGAATCCAGGTCTCCAGGGCTCAAGAGCCAAAACTCTTAACCCCTCACTCCACTGCTTCAGATGCAGCAGGTCCTAGTCCTACAAGCGTTCCCTGACCCCCCTGTCTGAGTCAGACCCCACCAGGGCCCCTACTGGGCTCTCTTGCACCTCCCCCTCCGCCTCACCTCGCTGAGTAACGTGTAACCTCCTTACGAGAGGGGGTCCGGTCTTCAGCCACATTTGGATCTCTGGCACTTGCCATTGTGTCTGGCACATAGTGTGTATTCAGTATTGATTTAACTCAATAAATAAAAACCTTCCTTTCCTTGGAGAGACTGATTCAATATTTGCTGCAAGACCAGAAGTGCCAGGTGAGTGAAGGGTGTAATTTGCAAATGGCAAACTCAGATTCCAAGCGTCATG